AAGAGCCCGCCCCCGCGCGGCCATGGGGGCTGCAGACTCATTTTAGGAAGCGGTGAGTAAGGCGGGCGAGACGGGCGGGTGATGCAGCCTGGGAAGCCGGGGGCTACTTTTGAATGGCAGCAGATGGCTCTGCCAGGCGCCTTCGGGAGGTGTCAGCACGACAGCAGCAGCCAAATTAGCTCTCATACAGCACCCGTCTGCTCTTCCCATCCCAGTGATGCCAACACCCCGGGGGAGACTGTTTGTGGATGGAGGCTGGACACCCCCGATCCTCAGAGGAGCCAGACAACGCTTCCAAGGAATGGGAGAGCGGGCTCGGCTCTTCCCTCCACAAACCACAGGGGGAAATGGCTCACGACTGCAAATTGCGGAATGCGGTAAGAGATCCGGGGCTGACGCCAGGGATTTTCATCTTTGGCCTCTGCTGAGCCCCGTTGCAAGGCACCTGCAAGCCTTGTGCCACACGTGAGCTGACCAAGAGGTGAGCTCAGATACTGTATTTCCCCTGGAATAAAGTCTGGCCCTGCTCCTAGGCCCTCTGAGGACGCAGGGCACCAGCAGCCACCACGCCAGCCACCGACGGTCTGCCCCTGGTCCTCGCCCGAAACCCAGGGCTCGTCTCCCGCAGCGGGACTGACCAGAGGGGAGCACCAAACTCTCCAGGCACAGATCAAAGCTCGGGGCTTTCTCCACCCAGGCACGTACGAGGGCCTTACCTGGGTGACAATGGCATCAAGGCCACTCTGTCCCCATGCGTAGTCCCCGGGATTCGAGTGCAGCATCCCGCTCCTGCGGACGGGAGCGGAGAGTCAGGGAAGGCGTTTCACTCACCCCAAACCAGCCCTGGGGTTTGCACGATCCTCCCGGAGGAGCCACACTGGGGAGAGGGAGCTCCCGGGCTCCAGATCACGGCTGTTTACTGGTGTGGACAGCCGTGATCAAAGCCGTGGTCTAAACCACGCTCGCTACTCACCAGGAAAAAGGGTGTTGTGAGCCAGGAATCGCTGAGTTTGCAAAAAACCCTGCAAAGATCTGCTGTATTATTCTAAAGAGGGAGGAATGGAAAGAGAGAGAAAAAGAACAAGTTGAGCAAATCGAATACAGGGCGGCAGCAACAGTTTTGCAAGAACGGGCAGCGAAACACAAAATACTGCTGCCATCGATCACAGCCACAGCGCTGCCAAGACTCACGCCTCGGTAAATCCCCTCTGCAGAAGGCCAAGCCCTGAGACAGAGGCACAGGACGAAGGAACAAGGGATGCTAACTCATCGGAGCGTGGGAGGGCCGGGAGAGGAAATGACTGAGTTTCCCAAGCACTGACTCGTTTCCCTGTGGCGAGGGTTGGCACCGTGACAGGCAAAACCCACCTTGGCCACCAGGCAGCTTCGACGCCTGCCGAGGGGGACAAAGGGTAGAGCCTCTGCCGTGAAAACCTGCGTTCCCTGGGTCTGAGGGTCACCTACCGTAAGCGCCAGGATCCCCTTTGGTCACGTTTCTCCCCCAGGATCCCACATTTTTCCGCTGGTGGGGGAGGGAGATGCTTCCAGGGGGTAATTTAGGCACTTACCCTTCGATAGCAGGAGACCTGTCGGGGCGCGAGCTGCCCCGGGATCTGTACCTCCGCGTCATGGGCAATCGCGGGGGTCGGCTTGGTCCCCAGAGGTCGGCGTGAGCTTGGTGGCCCCTCTCGTTGTCCCTGCTGTCTTGATCCAGTGAGCTGCTACTCAGAAAGGGTCTGAAGTCGGGAAAGAACATCGTGTGGTCCAAATGGTCCCAAAGCTGGGGGGAGAAAAGGGGAGACACAAACCACGCGCAGCTCCGTCACTAATCCCGGTGACTCCGCTGCCAACACGGAGGCAGGGAAGTCCACCTCAACAGAAGCAATTGAGCAAATTCCTATGGTTACCATGGCTCCCGGGGGAAAAAAAAAAAAAAAAAAAAAAAAAGTCTGGCAAAAATGCTTAATTATAGCCTAAACTAATCAGCTGTACCACCCCCGAGAAGATCAACACATCAGCTGAAGAGCTGCTATGTACAGACCCCAACAACGTATATTTTAAGCCACCCCGGGGTGCTGCGAGGGTTGGTCTCTCTCTCCAAGGGCTGGGATTTGAGGAGAGAGAACGCTGGATGCCCGGGCCCCCCACCCACGGGCTCATTGGGTGCTCTAGGTCCTCACAGCCACGGGTGGCAAACAGATGGGGCCCAAAAGAACCGAAGTGCGGCCCCCAGGAGGGAGGGTTCGTGTCTCTGGTTGTGTCCTCGGGCTCGGTGAACCCGACACGGCAGAACAGAGCGGCGCGAAACGGCCGATAGCGAAAGGTCCTGCACGCGTAACGCTGTGCTGTGGGGTCCATCCGCACAGGTGAAGGCACCTCCCGGCCCGACAGCGGATCGACCTCCTGCCAGCGGTGCCAAACCCCGCCTGCTCCCTGCCCGAGTCCCATTGCCAGCCCCAAGCCCGCCCCAGGGCGAGCAGGGACACGAATTGAGAGCTGCCGGGGGATGCGGCTCCTGGCCACGCTCCCCGCTGGGGGCTGATGGCCTGCAGAGAAACTGGGGGGGGTGTGTGCACGAAAACACCCAGGAACCCAGAGCAAGGCACCCCCACCCCGAGCTGCAGCTCGGAGCCGAGAGCCTCCTCGGCCACCCTCACCTGCCAAATCCTTTTGCCATCCGGAACACCCACGGATTAAAGTAACAGCCGAGGAGGGCACCGAAGGTTTGTGAAAAAAAAAGTAAGAAAAGATTCGTAGGACACAACAAAAAGCGGAGTGCCAGACGATAAACGCTCCGTGGGCCACGCGAGAGCGAGCTGCTCCACGTGCTCGATGCGCCCGGGCCAGGCTCTGCGCCCCAAAAGCGATATTCGGAGGAGCGGGGCGCTTGGATTTGCTGCGGGAATGAAACGCTCCAGAGCGTTAACACGAGGGCTGCTCTGTTCTCCGTTGTACCCGACCCTCATCACGCGCTGAGACACGATCAGAGCGGCTTCATTTCCATTTCACACCAAATTAGCTGGCTTTACAAGCCTCTTACATTGCCTGGTTCAATCGGATATCGGAGGGAAGGGAGAAGTCAAGTTTATGACCTGCTCTCTGAATTAATGCCCCGCAGAGAGGGTTTTGCCTGTTCTCCTGCTGGTCGTGATCAAGCCGCAGCTCTGCCTGCCTGCAGCCACGCTGCTGGGAGAAGACTTTCATTTATTATTAATCCTAAAAGCCATTTAAACTTACACAGCGCCCTTCAGGCAGAGGCATCCCAAAGCTCTCTGTAAACCGACACGTGGGCTTAATAAGAGGAGATCGCTTGATCTCGCTGCGAACGCGGGCATTTCTGGGATACGGCGCTGGGGAGGAGCAATATCAAGGCAAGGGTTTTGTTCAGGAGACAAATGGATCCAGCTGGAGAGGAGGAGAGGCAGAGCAGCCGTACGCAGGGAACGTGGAAGCAAACAGGAGGGATCCAGATCCGAAACGCAAAGCTGCAGAGGGATTTCAGCTCTTTGGTGACCCTGGTTCCGGCACCGAACCGAGTGGCTTTGCTGCAGCAGGCGAAGGAGGGCTCAGCAACACCATGGACCCCCAGACCTACCCAGGGATGACCCTGGCCGAGGAGCTGCGACTCAAGACATCGGGGAGCGACCCTGGCAGGACCGAGGAACAGTTAAAGCTCCCCAACAAGCGAGCAAACCAATAACCTGATCTCTGAGCAAGGTCTGCTGGCAGAGGAGACGCACAGAGATTTTATTTCCATCTGGTTTACACGGCTCAGCTGAAGTCCTGACGGGAAATAGAGCCCTGAGGAACGAAGCCTGCGCTCAGAGCCTGAAGCCGCCCTTCCTTCCCCGGGGTCTGGCAGAGGAGCTGCCGCTGCAGCCACGAGCCCAGGGTGACTTGGCGAGGCCACAGCACGAGTTCAGGGTGCGTATTCGCAGAGGTCGACTCGGGCTCTCAGCACGTGCCCGGCCCTTTGAGACTTTAGGTAATGGGGTAAGAAAAGACGCCGCCAGCCCTCGCTGCTCCGGGCTCCACGCAACTCAATTACGAGACGCGGATTTTGTTGTAAATTTGGACTTTTTAGTGACGAGCAGGGAGGAAAGGGAGGTCAGGCAACGCCCTCCCCACTGGCCGAGCATCACCAGCACATGTCCCTGTATCTGCCAGCACCAGGGGCCAGCGCGCCTTTCTAGCATCCTTTTTTTTCCCCCCGTCCTGCCCAGTGAGCAAACCTCTGGCAGGTCTCAACCCCGGCCATGTCAACACTCTCCTCAAAATTTGCCAAGTTCCCGAAACCTCTTTGGAGGATCAGCCGCCCTTTTTGCACACCAGGGGCAAGACTGAAAACCTCTTCGTGGCTACAGTTAAGGAACCAAAGGAAGACAGCAAAACTCACCTCTGCAAACTGTGTGGACGGGCTGTCGTCTATGCCACTGCCGTCTAGAAAACTGGAGAGAAACAGGCAAGTGAGAGCAGCTCTCCCCTCCAAAAATCAGCTCCCCTTCTGGGGTTAGATACAGGCGGGAGCTCGTGTGAGCAAGGCAGTCCCCGTGTGGTCCGAGAGAGGAAGGGAGGAGCAAACAGAGCCTGCCGGTGTGAACATAGGGGAGTAATTCCTCGGGACAGAGAAGGGCTATCAACGTCAAAAGGCTCGGTTATGTGCCAGCACACCATGCACAACCTGATGGCAGAAGAAACCTGGTCTCTAACTATCCGGCCTCTGGAAGAGCCTCCTAAGAGGAGGCGTTTGAGATGGAGCATCGTCATTCCGCAAACAGGACGGTGTGCTAAGCGCCCCAGAGGACTCCTCCAGCCTTGCCTTAAGCGATGGGTATACACCTGTATTTAAGAAGAGGACGTAGTGTGACATTAATTGAGGGAGCTGGGGGGGGGTTCAGCCTGGAGCAGAGGAGGCTGAGGGGAGCCCTCATCGCTGCCTACAACTGCCTGAGAGGAGGG